TCATCTTATTCTTCAGTTACTACCATGATTCTCTTTCTTTGAGATATGCCCTTTTTGTTATGTAAAGAAGAAAGTGAGTGTGCCTGTGGTTCCCGGTCAAAGTATAAGTTAAGGTTTTATTTTTTTGGTTTTTTTTTTTTTTTTTTTTTGTCTTTTTTCCGTGTCCGGCAACGGATCGCAACCCTCAGTGTCGCCCCCGTTCCGGACCGGGACCGGCAACGGGATCGCAACCCTCGGCGTTGCCCCCGCGCCTCGCTCAGCCAGTGAGCGGGAACCGGTCTGTATGTGGGATCCGAACCCTCGGGCGGGAGCGCCGCCATGCTTCCCAAGCGGCGCACTATCCAGTGCGCCACTGGGCCGGCCCCCTTTCTTGGTTTTTAAGACTTGATTTTCCCTGGTTAAAAAATTAATGCAGGGGCCGGCCCGGTGGCGCACTCAGTAGAGTGCAGTGTGGCAGCGCTACCGCCAAGGGTTCGGATCCCATATAGAGACCGGTCCGCTCACTGGTTGAGCGCGGTGTGGGCGCGACACCGAGAGTTGCGATCCCGTTACCGGTCGTGAAAAAAGACAAAAAGGGGGGAAAAGAAAAATTAGTGCAGCAAGTTCGAGAGATCTATTGTACAGCATGGTGATTATAATTAATAACAATGTATTGTATACTTGAAAATTGTTAGACAGCTGGCTGGTGTGCTCAGTTGGTGAGAGCACAGCCTTGTAACACCAAGGTCACGGTTTGGGTCCCCAGACTGGCCAGCTGCCAAGAAAAACCCAGAAATTTTTTAAGAGAGTAGATTTTAAGTGTTCTGTCACCACAGACAAATAAGTGTATGAAGTAGTGCATATGTTAATTAGCTTGATTTAGCCATTCCACAATGTGTACATATTTCAAAACATCATGTTATATACCATAAACATATGTAATTTTTACATGTCAATTTAGAAAATTAATTTAAAAGTATCAATGCAGTACAATTCTTTCTGCTCAGCATTTGGTGAGTACCTACTGTGTATAAGATACTGTGGAAAGAAATTTGATACTTTCTGGAGATATAGTAAGAGTTTATACCCTAAAGCCCTTTCATGTGCAGTTTTAAAATTGATTACTGTCATTGGGAAATAGAGCAGCCACATAGAAGGGGCAAACAATTGTTGTATTTGTCACTATATGTATTAGTTCATTTTCTGTGGCTTATAACATAATACCTGAAATACGATAATTTATAAAGAAACAGAATGTATTTTTCTTTTAATTTTTTTTTGGTGGCTGGCCAGTTCGGGGATCCAAACCCTTGATCTTGGTGTTATCAGCACCATGCTCTCCCAATTGAGCTGACCAGCCAGCCCATAAAGAAACAGAATTTATTTCTTACAGTGTAGGAGGCTGGGAAGTCCAAGGTACAGGAGGCATATCTGGTGAGGGCCTTCTTCTTGGTGGGAACTCTCTACAGAGTCCCATGGCAATGCAGGCAATCACATGGCAAGGACGAGCAAGAAGGCATTTCCACATGCTTTTTTCTCTCCTTATAAAGTCCTCAGTCTACTCCCTAATAACGTCTTAAGCTATTAATCCATGAATGTATTAATCCATTCATGAGAACAGAGTCCTCATGATCCAGTCACCTCCCAAAGACCCCCACCTTTCAAATGCGTTAGTCTGATTTCCCACCCTCTTAACACTGTCACAATGGGGATCAAATTTCAGTGAGTTTTGGAGGGACATTCAAACCATAGCACCACGTTAATTAATTCTTCTTGATTGTTTAAATCTCTCAGGACTCTGAAGGAGAATCAGCCATGGTCCTCTCCCAAAGGTTCTGAGGGGTACCTTGCAGCTTCCTATCCAACTGTGGGCCAGACCAGTCCTCGAGCCAGGAAATCCATGAGCTTGGACATGGGACAGCCTTCTCAGGCCAACACTAAGAAGTTGCTTGGTTAGTTTATCTAAATTATGTAGAATTTTTTTTATTATTTTAAAAAATGGTCAGATACTTTCACTCTTGGAAGAATATTGGAAACTGTTCAAGATTATCAAAATTTTACATTTTGATGTAGCAAAGTTTTTGATGCTAATGATAAGAATTTATTAGATTCGTTAAGCCATATCAGTTAAGATAGAGGAATTAGAATGGAACCTTGAAACAGTTTTTCTAATTCTTAGACTAAATACTGTGGCTCTCCTTGTTTTGTTCTGCCTTGCCCAGGCAGCAGGAAAATGGGAGTAGGAGAGACATTACATACCTACTCGGAGCCTTTTTTTTTTCGGTGGCTGGCCGGTACAGGGATTGAACCCTGACCTTCGTGTTATCAACACTACGCTCTAACCACCTGAGTTAACTGGCCAGCCCTGGGCCTTTAACAATGTATATTTCCCATAATTATCATCTGAGAGCAGAATACATCAATATAGTATTAACTTAAAATATTACTATTTGCCAGGTTTTCTTTGAAAAGACCAAAAGGTCTTTCTTGGTTTTTAGATGTATAGTAATTTTTCAATTACTATAAGAAGATATGATTCTTGAAAGTTAAAATTGCTCAGTTACATCAGTGTTAGTGTGTGAGAAGTTTGCCTCAAATGCTGTGAGACCCTTTTCCTTTTCAGTAACTGAAAGTAAATTAATGAAAGAGCCCTCTGATCCCACCTCGCACCACCAAGGAAATGCAGGGGTGCTCTTATATTCCATTGGCTAAATATTTAATCATTACTGGAATACATTGGGATCCATATTTCAGTGACCAACACTGAATGGTTCAAAGGATTTCAGTTATTTATACAAGCATGTTTAAATATCTTTAGGTACTGGGAAATGTGTTGTGAAAATGAAATGTGACAAATATAACCTGCCAGTAAACCATGAAAGAAGTAGAAACCATAAATGTTAATCACTGTTACTGGTCACATAGGTCTGTTACCTTTTGTTTGAGTTCCCTTCTGTTAATACTTTGCCATAAATAATCTTCTAGGAGTTTCTGGGTTACTTTGTGTTATGCTATTCTGAATTTTCATGCCAAGAAAGTTGTAAATGAAAAACTAACCTCAGAGAAAATGCTGTATTGAATTTTTTCAACCCATGTTGCTAGGTGAAAAAGATACGGTCTCTGCCTAGAAGAGCTTATAGTTTGGTGGCTAAGACTTACAGTTATCCAATTACAAAAGCATCTCTAGGTGCCGTTAAAGTGATATGTCTTGATGGGGGAAACTGAGGATCTGGGGAAACTAGGAAAAGCTGCAGAGAGGAGGTAACATTTGAGCTGGGTCTTGAAGATTTAATACATGCTTACGAGGCAGACATAGGATAAGAAAGGACATGCATTCAGGAGAGTGGGAATAACACAAATAAAGGTCAATAAAGCGACTGGCAGCAGATCATAGCATCATGGAGAATAGGGCAGGAAATGAGACTAGAGAAGGATTGAAATTCAATTGTGAAAGACTTTGTGTGCCATGTTAAGAGATTTAACCTTATCGGGTATCCAGCAGAGATCTTCAAGTAGGGGAGGAGCATGACCAAATTTTATGTTTTGGAAAGTTTTTCTGACAGCAGTGTGGAGAAATAGAAAGAGATTTTTGGCAAGGGGCCTGTTGAAGAGATTAATCCAGCATTACAAGAAAAAAAATGGTATAGTTGTGCACTAAGGCGGGAATAATGTGAGAATGGAGAAGAGGAATGAGGTGCAGAATAGATTTCTGAAGTAGAATGGATAAGACTTAGTGTTTGACCAATTGGGACTGGTGGAGACAGAGAAGGCTGTGAAGCAAAAAAATGGTATAGTTGTGCACTAAGGCGGGAATAATGTGAGAATGGAGAAGAGGAATGAGGTGCAGAATAGATTTCTGAAGCAGAATGGATAAGACTTAGTGTTTGACCAATTGGGACTGGTGGAGACAGAGAAGGCTGTGAAGGATATTGGGACCCCAGCTTCAAAAACTGGCCCAATAGTGATTCCATTTATAGAGATCAGGACTAATATGTTTACAGGACGTGATAAATTTAAGTTGGTTGATATTATATTTGAGATCCCTTCAGGATATCTAGGAGTGTATGTATAAGATAAATGAAAAGATGTATCTGGAGTTCAGGAAGAGGGAAGTAAAAAGTGTCACATTTAGAATTGATTAGCTCATAGATAAATGAAGTTATGGGAGCAGAAGGAGATCTCCCAGGAAGAATGCAGAGAATAAAATAAAAAGGAAGAGTGTAGGGCCGCCCCGTGGCTCACTCGGGAGAGTGTGGTGCTGACAACACCAAGTCAAGGGTTAAGATCCCCTTACTGGTCATCTTTAAAAAATAAATAAATAAATAAAAATAAAAAGGAAGAGTGAGAAAGTTAGGAAAACTAAATGTAGAAAGTGGTGTCCTAATCTCACAAGGTATCTAAAGCACTGATTGGCTTTAGAAAACCTGAGTTTTCAGTCTGGTCATTATCTGGATCCCTAGTCACACAACCTCAGGCTAATCACTTAACTATGCTTGGTTTCCTCAGTTTGCATGTGTGTGAAATTAAGAGGCTGAACTAGATCCTTTTGGGCTATTAAATTAGCTGGCCTTGATATTTATGACTATATGAATATTTATTAATATTAATATTGAGGTTACTAGAACATCGTATTTCTCAAGTGTTCAATTGTCAGATTTTATTATATTAGCTTCAATTCTGGCTTTAAAAAAATAATACTGTCAAAAGTATTCCAGATTTTGGGCCCGCCTGTGGCTCACTCAGGAGAGTGCGGTGCTGATAACACCAAGGCCGCGGGTTCGGATCCCATATAGGGATGGCCGGTTTGCTCACTGGCTGAGCGTGGTGCTGACAACACCAAGTCAAGGGTTAAGATCCCCTTACCGGTCATCTTTTTTTAAAAGATGTCAGCACCACACTCAGCCAAAAAAGTAGTATTCCAGATTTTAAGTTCCAAATAATCCAATTTTAATATTTTTACTTTAAATAAGAGAAAGATATTTAATAATGTTAGTGTAATACAGTGTATCTATTCTTAGTACTTTCAGGCATGCACATCTTTTTCTTAAAGCTTTAAGAATTAAAATCACACTTTTTTTTTTTTGGTGGCTGGCCGGTAGAGGGATCAAACCTTAGACCTTGTTGTCATCAGCACCACACTCTAACAAACTGAGCTGAGCAGCCAGCCCCAAATCAAACTTTGATTTTTGCCTAAGTTTGGAAATTCCTCATACGTTAATGACAAATTTTTGGCAGCAGAAAAATTTTTTCAATAAAAGACACAATCGGCCTTTGCTACTGAACAGTGCCTACCCCTGTATTTATTATCAGTAATTGTACTTGGTAGAGTTTGGTTTACCTCCAGTGTAGTGAATGTAACGTCAGTTTAATTTGGACGAGTAATCCTGTTCTGATATGGAAAGCTGTGAGGCCAAAACCCTTTGAGAAGGTGGAGAATAAAGGAGAGAAACTCTGCCCCAGGGATACATTTGAGTTTTCTTTGGGTCCTTAAGTGAAAGCTTAAACATTTTATGTGCAAACATTTTCTTTTTGGTGTATTCCTATTCATAGGCATTGTGGTTAATGAACTTCCATATTCTGTAACTTTTGTTTATAGGAACAAGGAAAAGTTTTGATCACTTGATATCAGACACAAAGGCCCCTAAAAGGCAAGAAATGGAATCAGGGATCACAACACCACCCAAAATGAGGAGAGTAGCAGAGACTGATTATGAAATGGGTGAGAAACAAAGTGTTTAATTATTGATCTAGATCATTGAAAATAAGGAGGGAGAGTACATTACAACTATATTACTTTCCAACCATTTCTTAGGTCTTTCGGATGAAATATAGAAACATTTGCTCTTTTTCAAAAGATAAGCTCTATAGTCCTTAAAAAGACAGTTATCCTGAAACCTATATAAAAAGTAAATTATATTTGATATACAGCATTGTAATTAGCTAGCCAGCTTTTGTATAGGTGAATAGTAATTCTATGTGATGTTTATGTCAATATTTTAAGTGCCTACTAAAAAAACTATTGAATTTTAGAACTAACATTGAAATATGTTAGGTGAAGTTATTAGCCGGATACTCAATTAAAACAGCTAATTATGTTTATCCATATCTTACTGCAGAAACTCAAAGGATTTCTTCATCACAACAGCACCCACATTTGCGTAAAGTTTCAGTGTCTGAATCAAATGTTCTCTTGGATGAGGAAGTACTTACTGATCCGAAGATCCAAGCTCTTCTTCTTACTGTTCTAGTAAGGATTTTCCTTTTTGGCAGGTTTTGTTTCCCTCGTGTTTTTATTCCAGTCTACCTTAAATATTAAAAACATGGAGGCCCTTAAATATTAAAAACATGGAAGGAAGACAGTTGTCTGCTTCTCACCAAACAAGTAACAATTCAGCCACAAAGTAAAAATGCTGTTTGTTTACTTTTTTGCATCTTGGCAGGCTACACTGGTGAAATATACCACGGATGAATTTGATCAACGAATTCTTTATGAATACTTAGCAGAGGCCAGTGTTGTGTTCCCCAAAGTTTTTCCTGTTGTGTAAGTATCTGCTTTTATTTTCGGTTAACCTTTGTACCTGTCTTTAGGTCAAATATTTTATAAAGGCTTAGGAAAAGTATTACCCAGTTGTGTTCACTGGTTGTGAAGAGGGGAAGGTGAGATAGCGTGAGAGTGATTTTAGCTTGGAGGTAGTGGGTTTAATGGGGGCTAAGACAAGTTTTGGCCTGTTAGTAAAATCATCTTTTTAATTTTGTTTAAGTGGTTCGTCTTGATGAACATTGTTCATTTTACTCACTTCGGAGCAGACCATCAGACTACTATTTTTAAATCAGCACGCCTGTTTTGATTTTCATTTTAGTAGAGCTGTCGTATTTATCCACAGCCGAGTGAAAACAAAATCACTCCTATTTAGGAGGTGAATTTTATTCTCTTTTAAGGACTAAAATAATGTTAGCTTCAAAGTGTTCAAATTTAAATAATCCAAAGAAACTTGGGAAATTCTGTTCGGGTCTAGGCCCTCTATGTAGTGTCATTATTTTCTTATTTTTGGTTAATCTCATTTTAAAATTTTAGAAATTTATATAGTTAGGTCTTAGTTATTTTTATTAATGGAGTATAGCAAGTTAGAAATTGTTAATTTCTTCCTTTGTTTCAGTTTTATTGTATATTCTACTCCTCCAAACTAATTTTACTTTTCTTATGTGATCTGCTTCAGCATTTATTAAGGACTGAATAATATTAAATTTGGTTTTAACTCCCTGAGTACATTATCAGCAGACAGCAGAAAGAAATGGTCCTGAAGGATGCTAAGTGGCAGACAGAAGCCGATCTTGTCTTGAACTGACATTCACCATATATAGTTAAACATGGTTATATGACACTACTAGTTGTTTGTTTTTACCGTATCTTCCCTGATAGCTAAAAACAAAACACAAACCAAAAAAGCAAACTCAGACACATGTTCATTATGTAAAATTTGGAAAATATAGAAAAGCATAAGAAAGTAAAATGCACTCATCTCCCTTCAATTTTGCCACATTGTTCCGGGAAATATATGTTTTCCAGTATATGTTTTTATTTAATTTTACTCTAAAATATTTCTCTGTTGACTTTTATTTTTTTAGGCACAATTTGTTGGACTCTAAGATCAATACCCTGTTGTCATTGTGCCAAGATCCAAATTTGTTAAATCCGATCCATGGAATTGTGCAGAGTGTGGTGTACCATGAAGAATCACCACCACAATACCAAACGTCTTACCTGCAAAGTAAATAAATGTATCAGGAGGAATGGATGGTTGATGAACTTGCTAACATATGCACTGTTGTAGAATACAATGACCACAGAACTCTATAAAGAGTTTTCTGACTCTCTTAATTATATGTTCACTATCCTGGTTGACCACTTTTTAAATTAAAATGTTTTTATACTGAGTATATTTTAAGTAAGTTTTAGTCTGCTTTGACACTCATTCTAAAAAAAAATGTTTTCAGTGTGTTAGTAGGTTTTACATATCAGCTATGCAACTTATGTAATTTCTGTTATGATTGAAAGATATCTTGCTTATTATAAGAGTAACATTTGATTTGTTGCAGGTTTTGGTTTTAATGGCTTGTGGCGGTTTGCAGGACCCTTTTCAAAGGTAAGAAAAAATATTTTTCTCTAACTTTCAACAAAATGAAAATTTCTATGCACATTAGTGTGCTTTAGAATGCACGATTTGCTGAAAATCAGAATAATGACTCACAATAAACATATATTCTTTTCATAAGTTTTTCACTGCAAGATTTTTTCTAATAGGCGGCACCTTTAATGTGCTTATATATTAGTTTTTATGAAAAATGACTCAATTTCTGCTTTTGACTTTTCAGAAGAGTATGATAAACCTCTGTAAAAATTTTTTCCCTCAGTCCCTCGTGTATTTGATCATTTTAATGCACACACTTAAGTATCTCCTGACACAAGGAGCATTAAAATATACTACATGAAACATTTTTACTCTCAACCTGTTGCATTAGATACATTTCTCTTTCTCTCTGGATATATCCTCCTTTGCTCTTATTCAGTTTGTTCTTCAATTGGCATTAGTTGATGTAGTGCTACATAATATGTATTTAATTATTTTCTCAGTATATGGTCTCTTTCCAAATTGTTCGAAGTTCCTTGAAGGCAGGACTTCTGTTTCTTTCCTCCCCTCGCCCGCATACCATCCTCCCCAGTTTCTTGTGCAGTGTTCTAGATAGAGGGGGTGCTAAATCACATTATCTAAACCTTGTTCCAATTTTAAGAATTGGGTATTTAGTTTGTTATTTCATTTTATTATCACTGACTATCTCTTGACATGCAAAAGTTCTCACTAAAAAAGTGGGCCTGAAGTCATAGAAGTGAGTATATCATGCAGGAGGTTTTGCAGTTGGCTTGTTGGTAACCCTCTAAGTCCTTCACAGTGTCTAGTGAGTGGAGTCTAAATGGCACGTGGAATGATGATGCTCCACTCATTGTCTCTGTTTTGGAAAATTGGCTAGACATCATTCCTGATGATAGTATTGTTTCAGTATTAAATTCAGCTTTCAGAAATTGCAGGTTCATCTGGAAGCTTTAAGTGTACGCTGAATAGAATTTTTGTCTGTGAATCCTGTGATACTCTATAAGTATTACCCCCCGCCTTTTAATGATCAATAATACAAACAAAGGAAGAAAAATAATAAATTAAGCCCGAAACAAAAATTAATCTTTTTTGGCTTCAGAAAGGATTTACAAAAGAAAAAAAAGAATGGAGCTAAAATAATTTCCTATTTTCCATTACAGCAAACACAAATCCCAGACTATGCTGAGCTTATTGTTAAGTTTCTTGATGCCTTGATTGACACGTACTTGCCTGGAATTGATGAAGAAACCAGTGAGGAGTCCCTCCTGACACCCACATCTCCTTACCCTCCTGCACTGCAGAGCCAGCTTAGTATCACTGCCAACCTTAACCTCTCTAATTCCATGACCTCACTTGCAACTTCCCAGCATTCCCCAGGTCAGTAAATGTGATCTTTATATGACTTTGAGCAATAATATTAAGATACCAACATTAGGAATTCCCTTGTGATCCGTTTATATCAGATTTTGCTCCTTTTCCTCATGAGTTTCAGCTTACATTTCTTCTTTACCTTGTAGCTGACTTGAATTTTGTTAGTCTCTAAAACCTTCTACTTTCAAACAAGTTATTCATAAGTCAGTGAAATGTTTAGAGTGTTCACCTAGTATTCCAGGGTTGATAGGTTTTTAGAGTTTGGGCAAGAAGAGCAACCTAAGCTACATTACCCTGTAAGTGAACAGGACTATAATTCCTTTACTAGTTATACTACCATTTCCCTGAGGACTTCTGTGTCTCTGATATAGCACACTGTATCAAAGAAAATGTACAAAGTCTAGTAGTACCCAACTTCCCTTCTGCCAGTAGCAACTTGACCACCCATAGACCAACCTAAAGATTTGGGAGTATATAAACAAATGAAAAAGTCATCTCAAGAAAATAACATCTCAAAGCCTATAGGGGCATATTCCTTCTTAGAGTCACCGTTAGGTCTAAGTGGGAAAAGTATAACAATTTAACATACAACTTAGCAGTAGATACATTAAGAAATAATAGCTAGTAGCTCAGTGGGGCTGAAATAAACAAGACAGCAGAAATGGCAAACATCAGAACTCTGGACTCATTCAGTGTCAGAGTGAATGGTTTCATACAGCTCTAGTTGACCCCAGAGGTGTTATCCATTACAGAAGTTATGCTGTTGTGTGTGTTATGACAGTGGGCAATGAAGGAAAGCTTCTGTTATGGTCATGCTTTCTATTTAGGAAGATATTCTTCTAAAATGATTGAAATAAAAGAAGGTTTTGTTGTTAAAATTCTGTTATCTGAAAAGTTCACTTATGAAGAAAAGTTACTATACATAGTCCTTTTAAGTGTTAGAATTGATTTTCTTTTTCAAAAAATCGTGAAGCACCTCATTCTGTAAGGAAAAGTTACTATACATAGTCCTTTTAAGTGTTAGAATTGATTTTCTTTTTCAAAAAATCAAATGAAGAAAAGTTACTATACATAGTCCTTTTAAGTGTTAGAATTGATTTTCTTTTTCAAAAAATCAAATGATGTAAGGAAAAGTTACTATACATAGTCCTTTTAAGTGTTAGAATTGATTTTCTTTTTCAAAAAATCAAATGATTTTTTTATAATTATCCTGTGATGCTCAAGAACCATAAATAGAATCCTCAGTTTATAATCCCAGTTTTGCATGAATGTTTTAATTTGTATAGTTTGGAAGCTTCTGAAGAATTTGGCAAGTATAATACCCAATTCATAGTATAAACCATTATGTAAAATAACTATATTCAGTTGTTAAGCTTTGGTCAACAACAAAGCTTTGGTCAGCAGAGGAAACAAATTATTGCAGCATTTATTTATCAATCAGTCACCTTTTTCCCCCAAGAAATGAGACATCTGGCCAAATTTTTTTCCTCTTACGACCATGTTCCTTTGCCCTGTGTCACTTATTCTCTAAGACAGTGTTTCTCCAAGTGTGATTCCAAACCAGCAGCATCAGCATCATTTGGGAGCTTGTTAGAAACACAAATGCTAGAGTCCCACCCCAGACTTGCACAGGAATCTCCAAGAGTGGGGCCCAGCCAGCAATCGGTATTTTAATAAACACACCAAGTGATTCTTATACACACTAGAGATTGAGAAGCACTGCTCTAGGGTCTTCCTGTGGTCCTGCTCCCTTGTCAGCATTTCAGCTGTTAAAGCCAGGACAAAACTTTTACTTTCTTCTAGATATTGCAGCCACTGAATTCTTTCCTTCCCTGTCCCTCCTCCCCTCCATAACCTCTTAGCATTTTGGAGCTGGGGGACCGTACAGATAACTTAGTTCAAGGTTCACAATGTTGTATGCAATGGGGAGTCTGAGTTTTAGAAGAGCTAAGTTAATTGCTTTATTATACAGTTCTTATGTAGGACCAAGGCCAGTGCTCTTTCTGTCACATTCATTGCCTTCCGTATCTATCTGTCTATCTGTGTATCTATCTATCAGTCTGTCTGCCTATCAATCTGTCTAATCTTCTTTCCCTTCCGTTCCCCTGCCCCTTTCCATCTTTCCTTTACTTATTTGTTTCTGTCTTTTTATTTCTATCTACCTTACCTTAAATCCACCAGTCCTTTTCTTCTGTAGAGCTCTTATTTTTTGAGTTATTTGTTGTTTATAAAGGTCAACTACTAAAGATGATCACAATTAGAAAATTAGTAGATTCAGTCTCTATTAGTTCTCCTGTTTTTAAAGTTTGGTTCATTTTGAACAAAGTTTTGCCTCTTGTGCTACTAAAGTGGAGTTAAACATATCAAAATGATTCACCCACTAATGGAGACAATAATCAGGTTGAGAATACCAGTACAGGTTGCTAGTTGATTAATTGCTCATGTCCAATGTTGGTTGGACATTAGCCACATCATTTGCATTGGTAAAACAGTCCCACTCTGTAACCTCTTACTTAGAATTGTGTGTAAAAATAAGAACAGCATGTATGATTTTTGGTTACAGTTTTAAACCACTGGTGTCATCTCCACTAGTTCTCCAAAGATGGCTGCCTGAATAGACTACTATACCCTGGAAACCTCTGACTATTCCCAAAAGAAACTGGAGCTTTAAAAGTAATAGAAGTAATTTAGTAGGATTGTGGTGTTCAGCTCTTCCTGTCTCTAAATTGTGTGTCTTTTGCCTTGCGAGATTATGTTACTACATGTTTTTGGAGAAAGGGTTAATCTCTTCAATAATAACTTTAGTCTCCCACAAAACTCATTCGTATCTCTAAATTGTAGGCTCATGTCCACAAAAGGATCTTGATTTATCTGTGTACCTAATTACTGTGTTTTTGTCATTTGCTCTTATTGGAATATCTCCTAATGGTAAGAGTTGTGATTTTGTTTGTAATTAGGTATACTGCTTCATATCTTTAACTCCATGTAATCTTACATCCTTATCTCCTCATTTCTTTATGGAGCTTAGTTTGCTGATATCAAAGAGCTAAAAGAAGTGAAGAATTTTATCCAGATTACTAACTCAGTCTAGCATTTTGATTTTGCTATTTAGCTATATAGCAACCAAAATATTTCCTCTCTCCCCCAGCAGCCAGATCTGCTCTGTGTCACTCCCTGAAGTGTGACTTACCATCAAATTGCCCAGTATCAACCTGGACCCAATCTCCTGAGCTTTAAGCAGATGAAGGCTCTATTGCCCTATTTCAAAAAGCAAAAGTTGCTGATCTGCACATAGTCAACGCTTTGCTGCAAACTTTCTCTGTCAATGCAAGATTCTGCAATCGAGATCTTTGGTGCTTAGCAAGATCGGCTGCTAAGCTGCATTTTCTTTTGGTTTCCAACATTCTCTGCTAGCAAATCAACAAGATAAGAGGTTCATGAATCTCCTCCCTGCTGCCCCAGGATTAGACCTTACTTAAATAAAAATTTTGGTGGTATTTCATCAGTTGCCAGCTTTGAGGAAGTGATGGTCACTTATATAAAGCAATTTTCTCTAAAAATGCATTCTTCTTGACAAATTAGCATAGCCCATTTGTCCATCTTCAAGGATATTGTTCTATAAGTCAGCATTAAAAAAATACATAAACGATTGTCTTCTGAATCTCCTTCTAGTAGGGAGATTTCCTCAAGTAGAAATTGAACTTGGCATCAGTGGAGCCAGTGGACTGTACCCAGAGTTCAGCGCATATAAAATTGCATTAACTGTGACCCTTTAGCCAAATGGACATAAAATTTGCATCTTCAGATTTTCCCAAATGCCACTAAAAGCATCCTGAAGAGAATTCTTAACATTTACTCCATGATATATAAGATTATTTCAGATTTGATATTACGATTCTTACTAGGTCCATTGTAGCTGAGGTAGATAATGAATTGAAGAACCAAGATTAGAACCGCAAAATAAAACCTATCCACCTAAAAAATGCTATTTGTGGAACTTTCTCTTGGTTAAGCCCAAGCCATGAGTAGTTTTCTCAGCTGATAAGCAAAGACGACTTTTTTTTTTTTTCCTTTTTGTCTTTTTTCGTGTCCGGCAACGGACCGCAACCCTCAG